ATGATTTGAATACATGCCCTAGAATAGGCACTCAATACACTTTTTACTTTCTCCTTTCATCCTGAGAATCAGGGGTGTTCAAATCCCAACTGACTGTTCACTTTCTCCTTGACCTTGGGAAAGTTCCTTAACCTTGAGTTGAATCTCCTCTCTTGAGAAGGACTAATATACTATTTCTCATTTTTTGTGAAAGAATGTATAATCACTTAACAAAATCCTTGATAATATGACTGCTCCAAATTTCATTTCCCCTTTACTTTCTCCTCATCTTGAACATAAACTCATATTTGTATTCTAGTGGCTATTCACAATTCTACCTTCCATTTCACAAAATTGTCAAGTGCACCAATTCACTACTAGGAACTCCTAAACTAATAAAGACAAAGTTTAGAACTAGTTTTTAAGTGACCCATTAAAACTCATATAATGATACAAGACACTTGTTCTGGAGAGCTCAGTTAATTTCCTATTAACTATTAAATTACTATTAACTAGCTATTTATTTTACTAGCTCATGTGTCCTGTCTGCTTAGAAAGAACTTAAAGTGGACCCTGAGACTGATAGCAGGGAAACCTGTGCTTCTCCCCTGTCTTGGCCACTTGTAGTCCATGTAGCCTACAATAAGACATGGAACCTTTCTGAGTCACAGTTTCCTAATCTGTAAGCAATACTGATATAGAAGTATAGGGTTGCTGTAAAAAAATTAAATATGTAAATATGTAATTGCATATGTATATATATTTACATAGACAGTGTATAATGAATACATCACCATATGCAATGAAAAATGTGTGTGTTTGGTAATTCCGAGGAGTTATGCATGATGATTGATGATATTTTCCTGGGTTCTTTATATTTTATTTGAATCTGTCTATAGAATGCAGAGACAAAGGCTAGAGCAATTTCATAAAGGAGGTCCTTAAGATTTTTGGTTTTGAATCTTTGTTCTTTTCCAGCAAGAAGCTTCAGGTGTTCCGTCTCACCAAGCCCTCTGCCTGAAGCAGCATGGGCAGCACAGACAGTGGCCTGGCTAACGACCAGGTAACCAGGAGGGGAACTTGCTTAATTGCCCGAATGCTGGCTTCACAAAGCAGCTTTCACACCTAAAGCTGGAGCAGCTCACATCTGTGCCTGTCAGGCTTCTGCCTTGCAGATGAAGAAATCAGCTGCGCCTAGTCCCCACAGGATACCCAGGGGGTCCAAGCCTCATGCATAAAGTCAAAACACACAAACTCATTTCCATATAGAATACAAATAACATATTCATTTAATAAGATAACTCCTGAAACTTCCCACACATATGATTTCAAGCTCCTATGCAGGTAATTACAATCCTGCTTAGGAAAAATCGATGAAACCATTAGATCAAAACCAAATCCCCTTCATTTTATTTGCACATGTGTCCTCTCCATGTGCATTCATAGTGCTTTCCTTACAGACTCTCACCCAGAACAATTTTTCTCTTTAATGTTGGGGTAATTTATGGTATTACTTCAGGCTATGTGCTGCGTGTGTGTGTGTGTCTGTGTCTGTGTCTGTGTGTGTACAAATGCAGAAGAGAAGGAGGAGAGAGGACTTATTAGCTTTTATAGATATAAGTGTATTATTCATTTTATAGCTACAAAATGTATATTTTTATTGCTGTACCATCAAAAGAATCACTAGCTGCTGATAAAGTGCAGGCACTCACAGGATGCTATATAATAAAGGACCATGCTCGACTTCACAACTGAGAGCCCCAATAGGGTTCTAATAATGACACCTCTGATGGTGAGATTTTAATTACTCAGCTACTGCTCACTGCAGCAACAGCATAAATGGGGGAGAATGCACATCGTGGGCAATTTTGCACTTTCAGTATTACCAGTTGTGGTTGTTTTGTACTGTTTTGACTTAGCTAAGCTGCAACTACATTTCCCCAGAATTTCCTTCCCTGCCTCCTTCCTGGTTAGGGTCAGCCACCAGAAACATTGGTGCAAAGGACAGAGTGTAGAAATAGAAGCAGAGCAACAGGCATTATATCTGAGAGTTTGTGAGAGGTGCCTCAGCCACTGAGGCTCACACAGGATGTCACTGATCTGCGGGCTCATTTTCTAGGTGTTGGCTGTAGTTAGGAGGCGGCTTCGGCAGTTACACCTAGATCTCCTTCATCAATTTCCTTGGTCCCTGGGCCAGAAAATTATGAAGCTCTGTGGCTCCAATAAATATGTTCTTTCTAACTACTTTGAATTGACATCCATTCCCAAATTCAGTTTAACTTAGGGTCTTAGTGGTCTAACTCAGAGGTTGAAATTCAAAGCCAACATATTCATTATAATTCATCATCTCTTGAATATAATATTTCATAAAATACACAGAGGTGGACCACAATATCATCCAAAGTATGATCATAATATTTTTATTGGCAACTAGAGCTTCTATTGATGGTTGTTAGTTATTGTTGTTGTTTAGTCACTAAGTTGTGTCCAGCTCTTTGGTGACCCATGGACTGTAGCCCAGCCAGGCTCCTCTGTCCATGGCATTTTCCAGGGAAGAATACTGGAGGGTGTTGCCATGTACATTTTTGTTCTAATTGTCATTTTTGTTGTTTTAAACAAGAGGAGGGTAGGTGTCCCAACAAAGTAAGACAAGTAAGAATAAGCAATGTTCAACTTGTACCTACTTTATTCGAGGCCAGTCTTATATGATTAATTACTATTTAATCTGCTTTTTAAATTAATTTTGGAGTACAGTTGCTTTACAATGTAGTGTTAGTTGCTGGTGTACAGAAAAATGAATCAATTATGCATATACACATATCTTCTCTCTTTTTAGATTTCCTTCCACTTTAGGTCACCAATGAGCATGCCGTAGACTAACTTGTGTAACTCTATACAGTAGGTTATACACAGTAGGTTCTCAGTAGGTTCTCATTGGTTAGCTCTTTAGACATAGTAGTGTACATATGTAATACCAATCTCCAAATTCATCCCATCCCCTCTGCCCCCCTTGGTATTCATAAGTTTGTTCTCTGAATCTGTGTCTCTATTTCTACTTTGCAAATAAGTTCATCTGTACAAATTTTATAGATTCCACATATATGTGATAATATTCAATATGTATTTTTCTCTTTCTGACTTAGTTCACTCTTTATGAAAGTCTCCAGGTCTATCCAAGTCTCTGCAAATGGCACTATTTCATTACTTTTTATGGCTGAGTAATATTCCATTGTATATGGATAACATCTTCTTGATCCATTCTTCTGTCAGTGGACATCTAGGTTGCTTCCATGTCCTGGCTATTGTAAATAGTGTTGCAATGAACATTGGGGTGCATATATCTTTTTGTATTGTCATTTTCTCTGAGTATATGCCCAGGAGTGAGATTGCTGGGTATGGTAGTTCCATTTTTAGTTTTTTGAGGACCCTCCATACTGTTTTCCATAGTGGCTGGACCAATTTATATTCCCACTAACAGTCNCTGAGTGTCTTGATCATTTTCCACCGTAGCCTTTGCAGACAGATTTTTGCCTGATAAAGCCTTGTGTCAGGGCTTGATCTTAATCTGAAGAAAGAATGGCAAATTGAGCTTCTATGCAGTTTAATTGGGGCCAAGTGCTAAGTAGTAATGAGAAGGAGAATTAGGTATAAGAATCTAGAAGAAGAGCCTGGGTGGGACCTCATGGGAAAACAAAGTGAAGCCTTAACTTTAACCCTTGAAAGTAAATAATAGGGGACAGTCGTGGTTTGATGTTACTTCTTCAGAATCGACGGTCAGCTCCTTGAAGCAAGGACTGTGACTTACCCATCTGAGCATTGCTGACCTTTTTTTTTTTAAGCTAGGAAACTAATTTATTATTTTACTTTTTTTTCATTTTTTTTTTCTTCTTTTTGGCCATGCCATGCAACATGTGGGATGTTTGTTCCGCCACCAGGGATAGAACTCCTATCTCCTTCGGTGGAAGAGTGGAGTCTTAACCACTGGACTACCAGGGAAGTCCTGCCTTGCTGGCTTAAAACACATTAGTGCTGGCACAGAACAGATGCTTAGGCAATGTTATTTCAGTTGGGTTGCCAATGGCTGCTTAATCTGGTCTGTGTAAAGCACTTGTAGGACTCTTTAGGGATATGAGACAGATCCTCTTTCCTCATGGGGCCAATGTTCAGCTGTGAATTATACAGCTTTTTTTAGGGGTAATAAGGGAGGATCATCACTGATTCCTGGAATCATCAGAGGACCTGGACTTGGAAACCCAACTTAGATAAAGGGGAGGGAATGAAGGGAATTCTCACTTGTGCTTCTGTCTTTGTTATGACACAGAGAGAAGTTTTCTAAGACATTAACAGAGTTTTCCAAGACATTAACAGAGTTTTCCATGCATAGGGTGAAATTGAAAGTCAGAAGAAGCAAGGTTGCTCCTTTTTTTTGCTTATTATAAAAAGAGGTATTTGGTTACTGTTATGTTGTTTGTTAAAAAGCCAAAGTTACAGTTTTTGACCTGGAAGAAATATTTATCTGTTAGAACAATGATGTGTAAATGTCAAATTGATGTTTAGATATTCAGCAGTCAGTCAATGCAAACAGGAAGATTTCTTGGCCTAACAGTTAGAGGTAAACAGGTTATTTTGCTTCTGAGGTCTAGAATCTATTGTTAATGATATTACTTGTAATTTCATGCCTATGGAGTGACTTAATAAATACATTAGAATAAAGGTCCATTGAAGCCAAGGCGGGGGCACCAAGGTGAAGTGAAATAAGTGTTTACGTTTGTATTGCACCTTTTAGTTGTTTTACTTTAAAAAAAATTCTTTTTTAATTGAAGGATAATTGCTTTATAGAATTCTGTTGGTTTCTGCCAAACATCAACATGAATGAGCCATAGGTATACATATGTCCCCTCCCATCTCTCTCCCCATTGTTGTTTTACTTTTATTTAAAAAGATTGTTCTTTGAAGCCACTAACTAAAGAATAATAAAAGTATTCGGCTTTGTTTAAAAATTCTTATGAGTCTGATTTTTCCTTGTTTCAGATTTAGTGGAGTTTAACTTGGGTAGCCCCAAGAATGTGGGTCCTTTCCTGGCAGTGGACCAGAAGCACAACATCCTGCTCAAATACCGCTGCCACGGCCCACCCATCCGCTTCACGACCGTCTTTAGCAGTGACCTCCGTTATGTGGCCAATGAGCTGAATGGCATCGTGGGAGGGAAGAACACAGTGGTCGCCATAGCCGTGTGGTCTCATTTCAGCACCTTCCCCTTGGAAGTGTATATCCGGCGGCTCAGGAACATCCGTCGGGCTGTGGTCCAGCTCCTGGACCGAAGCCCTAAGACTGTGGTGGTCATCCGGACAGCCAATGTCCAGGAGCTGGGGCCTGAGATTAGCCTTTTCAACAGCGACTGGTATAACTTTCAGCTGGACACCATCCTTCGCAAGATGTTCTCAGGGGTTGGAGTATATCTTGTTGATGCCTGGGAGATGACCCTGGCCCATTATCTGCCCCACAAGTTACATCCAGATGAAGTCATTGTGAAGAACCAAGTGGACATGTTCTTGACCTTTGTGTGCCCCTTGGAGACCTAGCCTGCCAGAGGGGACTGGCGGAATCACGTTCAGTGACCTTCTCTCTCACCTACACTACAAAAAGATAAACTTCTTTACACAGGTGGCCCTGTGGAGAGATGGCTTCTATATGTATTTAAAATCTAGAAAGGAGCTGGACTTCATGTAATCATTGTAAGGAGCTTAGAAAATGCAGATTACACTTATATCTACCTATAGGATTTTTTTCCTATCTTGACTTGCCACGGGTGAGCCATTATTAACAGCATATACACACTATACTGCCCTTGTAACCAAAGATACTAATGAGTGTGTCTGAACTAGCTTCTCTTGGCAGGGGATATTACTGTGCTATGAAGTGTGAAAAATGTTCTGACCTAAGTGGAAGGGGCAAGTTTGGTTGGCAGTGGACTGTTTGTAGTTTATCTGGTAAAGGGACATATTTGCATGAATAGCATAATTGGCCCATCTTCAGCGGAGGTGAATTTAACCCAAGGCTTGCAGTCAGCGGCCCCTGTAACACACTGAAGACAGCTGTGTCTCAAGAGTTTCTTTTGATTATCCAGTGTTTTTTCTGAATTACTTGAAAAGGCCAGTATCCTTGGTCAGAACTTTCTAATGAGAATATTTACAGTGTCCGACTTTAATCTGGAAAAGAAGCAAAAGGGAAAGATGAAAGCAGTATATATAAAATTGATATTTGCATTGGGTGATTGTTACTTACTTGATTCAGCTAAGGATGAATACTTATTCTAAAATAACCACTTTTGGAACTGAAAGGGAAAATATATAAAGGCAGCTCTATTTTTGTGTTCTGAAGTTTGAGGGTTTTAAGAATTGACTTTTATGTAAAGATTGCTACTGTTTGTTATAAAGTTGTGCAAAGTATTTCCAGCAATACCGAGTGTTTCTTTTCTGGTTGTTATTTTGAATTGCATACCCAAATTAGAAATTAAAATTAATTAAAAATTAAATTTAGATATTGAAGCCTGTGAAGGGTTGATTTGGGCATAAGGTAATGCCTATGCTTGGAAATAAAAGGTGCTATTCTTACTGGCTACCTTAAAATAATTGAATTATCAATTTTATCTGACTGTCTTTATCTTATTAATTTTAAATAAGTTTAAGTTAATGTGTGGCCACTTAGTCCTCTTTTCTTTTTGAAAAGAGTCTAGTTTTATTTATCCCTAAAGGAACATGTGATGGACATGGATTTGGGTAAACTCCGGGAGATGGTGAGGGACAGGGAAGCCTGGTGTGCTGCAGTCCATGGGGTTGTGAAGAGTTAAACACGACTTGCAACAAAGGAACATATGAAGAAACTGGGGAGGCTTCAGAAGTGAAGAAAAATGCCTAATGCATGAAAAAATACACTCAGAAGAATGGGTCAAAAAATCTGAGTTTTTAACTTAAAACAGAGATACTGAGATCTTCCTTTCCTAGCCTTGAGGGCCAGCTTCCAGTTTATAAAATAAATAAATATAACTTTAAATTATTTTCTGAGTCTGAAGTAGGCCAGGTAGTTAAATATATTAATATAGTTGAATTTTAATGGTCTTTAAGCTTTAGAGTGTTTGATGATCATTTATTTGATCAAAATGCAGAATTAGGGGAATTGTGGAGTCAGCCTTAGTGGCAGACATCTGAGGATTCTGATGCAATGGTGGTATTCTACATTTCAAGAAACACAAAGGGAAGAGGGAAGATAGAACTAAGGAAATAATATTTTTTTGTCTTATTTTAGGGGCTTTTCCCATAACATTTAGTTCTGATCGGGATCTAATACTGCATGTAATATTAGCTCCATTTTATAGATGAAGAACTTGATTTTGGATTTGAACTAAGGTGCATGACAGTCCATAGCCCTTTTCAAAAGGAACTTTTTGGACTTTGTAAACTTTTATTTTTCATGTAAGAACTTTGGAGCATTTTCTCAAGTGTCACTGGAAAAGGCTGAGTCATGTCTTCCTAGGAGAATTTCAATTTCTACTGCCCCTCCCGTTTGTATAAATGATTTCATGTGATCTCATCTAGTTATTTTTTGATTTAGTGACATTATGTCCTAAAGATTTGATGACACAGTTTCTTAAAGTATGCTCATTCATTCTGTCCTTCTAATTTGTCTTTATACACTCATGTGGAAATTTAAAAAAATGTCTAAGTGGGGAGTTTGGAATATTACCTAGGCCATTTCTAGATACACTATTTTAATTTCTTCTGAAAAGTTTAACTTAAGCCAATACCACAGAGTTGTGACTGTTAGCATGCCAATCAAATAATATATTTTATTTTAAATATATATTTTCCATTGTAAGTATAAAGGATGTTAAATATTGGCCATGGAAAAACCTGAACGAACTTTTTAGCTAACCCAATATAAAAAATTATGAAATCTATAGAACAGACTTGTGGACTCTGGGAGAAGGCGAGGGTGGGATGTTTCAAGAGAACAGTATCAAAACATGTATATTATCTAGGGTGAAACAGATAACCAGCCCAGGTTGGGTACATGAGACAAGTGCTCGGGCCTGGTGCACTGGGAAGACCCAGAGGGATCGGGTGGAGAGGGAGGTGGGAGGGGGGACTGGGATGGGGAATACATGTAAATCCATGGCTAATTCATTTCAATGTATAACAAAAACTACTGTAATGATGTAAAGTAATTAGCCTCCAACTAATAAAAATAAATGGGGAAAAAAAATAAATAAATGAACAACACACACACACACACACACACACACACACAAAAAAAAATTATGAAATCTAGAAGAAAAAAAAACCTATGGATAGGGTCCATAATTCTATCATCTGAATGCAATGAGCATTAGCAATTCGGTTTGATTTCTTCTAGTTTTTTTAAGTCCCATAGCTGTAATCACAGAGAACATGTGCTTTGTATCTGTTTTTAAATTTCACATATAAATAGTTTCCACGTTGTCATGACTTAATTATAAAAGTCTACCTAACAGTGTAGCTGGGTGATATCATTATATACATAGCTTGGCCATTCAGGTTTGTAATAAAATATGAAAACAGTGGTTTATATATAGTGTATGTATGTATGTGTGCTTAGGCGCTCAGTCATGTCTGACTCTTGGCGACCCCAAGAACAGTAGCCCGCCAGGCTCCTCTGTCCATGAGGATTCTCCAGACAGGAATACTGGGGTGGGTTGCCATGCCCTCCTCTCCTCCTCCAGATACATGTGTGGCTTATATATAGAAATGGGGCTTACATATAAACAGTGGGTTAAAATACTGATTTTTATTTTGGAATGACAGTGTTAACTTCATTTGTTGGATCTTCTAATACTCTAGAACTCAAATGATTGATTCCATGCTACTTGTGAAAGGGAGACTCCATAATAAAGCCCTTCTATGCAAATTATATCCTATGGAAGTTAAGAGTAACTTTTCTTTAGCAAATATGTTTAGTGTTCCAATATGATCCATTTTTTTTTACCATTCTGAACAACCATCATTTTATTAAATACCAATTGACTGATACTTCCCAGCTTCAGGTATTAAGTGCTGCATCAGGGTTCTTGAAGGGAAGCCTCTATATCTGTGTGTTACATGCCAGAGGTGAGTCTGTTTCCTGGCTATATGAAAGGAAATAGCAGTTACCCAGAAAGTATTCGGAAATAAATACCCAAGGGAAACAACAGAAATGAGATCTGCCCCTTCTGAGCCTGAGGTCCTCCCTGCCCCCCAAAAAGCTGCTCAGCATTAGCATTATCTTCACAGATCTAGCTTGTTGCTCAGGCCATAAAGCCACTTTGAGTGTATTCTTTCTCTTGTGTTAAGCAGTATTCTCTCCAGGGTTTATGCCTACAGTGGAGTGCATTTGTCTGCTCAATGTGCAATAAAGAAATAAGATATGGAAGGTGCTTTTTTTTCTCTTTGAAAGTGAAACTACAGCCCCAGAGTTCAAGGGGAGCCTGGGAACCCTGGGGGAGGTGTGGGGTGGTAGAAAACAAGAGGGGGGTCCAGGGCAGTAGTTTGTGGGGTACAGAAGGTACAAGGGCACAAGATACATTTCAATTTCACTTTGTCTCCAAAGTGCACTTAGAGTCTAACTTTCTAGAGAAAGTGTGAACTTAAGTGTGTTATATTTTGCTTTTTATTCCCAGTGGTAGAGTCCCCCTGCAGATGCAGGAGCCAGTTTGATCCTTGAGTGGGAAAGATCACCTGGAGGAAGAAATGGCAACCCACACCAGTATTCTTGCCTGGGAAACCCCATGGACAGAGGAACCTGGAGAGCTAAAGTCCATGGGGTCACAGAGTCTCACACGGCTGAGCGACTGTGCACATGTCCACACACACACGCTCTCTCTCACACATTCTTCCTGAGATGAGAGGAAGTCGGGCTCCTTTCAAGCTCTGCTGTCTTAAAGTTTTGAGGATCTTCTGGTGTTTAGGTCTAGATGCCCATTCCTGTTGGAGAGCCAGACATTTCCTGTCTAGTTCTAAAGCTGGATTGTAACACGGCATTATGGGGTTGGGGGTGAGGTTGGCCATAAGCAGAAGACAGTAGAAAGTATCCCTCAAAAAAAGCCACAGTGAAACCAAACGTCCAAGAAGAAATGCTTTCAGAGTTGCCTAATAGTTCATTCTCTGTTTGAATTCATTCCACATGAAAATGTCCCTGTTAGAGGAACATTGTTTTACTTACATCTCAGATTCCTGGTCCTTTAATGTGTCAATGAAGGCGCACAATAGGGACACTGCTTTCTGATTGCCCTGTTTGAAGAGCTCGGCTGTAGAAAGCACCCCCCTTCTCCCCCACCCCCGGCCCATTCAGGGGGCTGTTCAGAAAAAGCCAAAGAAAAAGAGAAGGTGGATTTAAGGAGGTAACTCTAATGCCCGGCTGTAACTTCACCGAGACGTTTTCAAAAGGCATCCCCAAGACAAACGTTTTATTCACAGATCTGTTTCTGATTCCCCTGCGCTGTTCCAGTCCAGGTCTTGGAGCCCGCCCTCGAGGGGAATGTCCGTGACTTGGGTCAGTACCTTTCTGGCCTGGGAATTTCCAGGGTGCAGAAAAAAAGTCCACGAACTGAGTCCTTGCTACTCCCTTCCTGCCTCTGCCCCTCCTCTGTGCCCACGCAGCCCCTTTTGAATGAGCGTCTGACCGTCTTCTGTAGTTTAGAAAACTGGTCCTTCGCTTCCCCCGCCCCCACCCCTTTCTAGAGCAGTGAGCGGCAAGCCAGCGCTATAAAGGGGGCCGGGAGAGGGGCTGGCCGCCTCCAGCCAAGAGGTCAGCCACCGGGTTCTTAGAGAAAAAGGCTGCTGCTGCTGATCATGTAACCTCAAAAGGAAACTGATCATCTTTCTCATGCTCTCACGTACTTGGGTTATTATCGCTGATTACAGCTGGAAACAGTTGATTTGCCTTTACGTATTTGTATGACTTGACTCTTCAAACACAAAGGTATATTTTTATTATTTGATATTTAGTATGAAAAAGTCTCTTAAATGATGATTTTTTTTTTTCTTTTTCCCATATCCAGATTCTTTACTTTGGAGTCACTTTCTGATACTTGTTTGGGTGCAAAATATTAGGGGGCAGGTATTTTGGGGAAGGACAACCTGAAATGTCTTTTTAATTTGGTGATGACTATGAATTGTGTCTGTTCGTCTTGGAGTCAGGAAAGACTAAGATGCTGATGGAGGAGGTGGATAGAATGGGTGATGAAAGTATCATAAATCTAATGTACAATCATTTAGTTAGCCAGTGAAGTACAACTATGACCATCCAGGGTAGCAATCTCCCAGGAGGTTTGAGTGTGGGTTTAGTGGTATATATATTTCTCACCAAGGGTAGGCATAGAGCTGTATCTTTATGGAAAAATTTTTCTGAATAGATCAGAATGTTGTATAGTATGTAATTCTTACGTTACCTTTGTAAAATGAAAGACACGCATTACCCGTTTTATGAATGAAGGAAACCTTGAAGTTTGATAACTTGGCGGTTCCTCCAGATTTATTACACTCTGGGACTTTGTATGGATAAAAATGCATTTCTAGGTAGGATGGATTGAGAGTCTCTTCATGAGGATTGGTGAACTGGCCATCATGGGGTGGAGGTATCTCAGAGGATGACATTTATTACATAGATTTTAAGCACTTGGAAATACA